TGCTACATCTCTCAGATCAGGATTTGTCCTCGGGCTGTAGGAAACCAGTGCAGAGCTGAAAAATTACTCCACTGCCCCTAAGGCTGGATCAAGGCTGTCACTGAAAGGTTGTTTTATTTCTGGTGACAGCAAGAGACCTCTCCGGGAGGATCTCCTTTACCTGGGTCCCCTCCCAGATAGCTGGACTGGTTTTTCTAAGTCCAGCCAGCCTCCTCCTCTTTGAGGACAGAGATGACAGACATCCCCCTCTTCTGGGGATTGGGCAGCAGACCTGCACTCCCAGATGCATCTGCAACAGGTCAGCTCTCTGCCTACACTCACGGTCTGCAGAACACCTTGAATTCAGTCCTGGACAAGTCCTCCTTGCTGTCCTGCAGCCATCCTGATCTACCTGCCCCACTGCCTGTGCCTCCCTGGAAGGCCCAAAAGCTTCACAGGCCTGCTCAAAGAGCCATGTGCACCGACTTGAGGTGCGCTGCCCCAGCAGTCACAGGCTCCCATGCTGTCTCCACTCTCCATGGCCAATCCTTTATCTCAGCCAGGACATTTCCACTATCCCCCAGGGTAACTTTAGAGGAGCAGGACACAATAAAAACATGGCCAGGATACTCTGGCATACTGAGAAACTATTGCAGGGCAGGATTCATCTCACCTGGCTTGGATGGTACCATCTAAGCCACCACAAACCCTGTTTTATCAATGGAGAGACTGGCACTGTTGGAGCACAAGCCATCTGACTAATCATACTCCAGGAGCGTCTGCGTTCTACCATGGGTGCAGACCTGCCCATGGCAATGAGCCTAAACGTATCAGGCTCTGAACAAGCCAAGGAACCACGTAGGAAATAATCCTGAGCTGAACTGTCATTTGCATGTATTTGAAGAGGAGGCATGTACAAGACTTTCCCTCCTGAACATCTCCTGGGCCAAAGGTCTTCTCCTTGACAGCCAAAGAAACTATCTCCTCTTCATCCTTTAATGAAGATGAATTTGTTCCAAGTGCAAAGCAATCCCAAGCCTTCAATGAGAATAATGGCCTTGGTAACAAGCACGACAGCCATGAGCCCTGTGGCAGTGTGCTGTGCACACAGCTGCCATGGGGACCCTGTCCCCAAATGGAATGCTAAGGTCTCTGCCATGGGCGGGGCTCTGCAGAGCTAGGAGGTGTAGAACACAGTCCAAGTCTGAGCAGGAGCCACCTTTGCTTGTCAGGGCCCATTTGTCTGAGTGGGATACTGTCCCAGACATGCTTCGCTTCAGGAAGAGGGACAATTTTTAAACACTGAAATAACAGTCTGGCTGGCACACAGCTCCCTACTTATTTCTCCAATTTTTTTTTTTTTTGTTAAAGCTCCATCTGAGTGGAGCCTTTCAGCATGCAGGACAGCACCAGCCACTCCTGTAGAGCTGCTCACAGGACACCAGTGATGTTCAGAGGCTTCATGGATAGATCATGCTTCTGCTAATGCCACTTTGTCACTTTGGGCCAAATCCTTTTGCTCCTAGCCCTGCTCCCTGCAGGGCAACTGTTCCCAGCTAACCATTGCCTCCCTTCCCTTAGCAGCATGCAGTGATGAGACTTGGCTCCCAGTAGAAAACTCTTCCCTGTAGTGCTGATTTATTAATAGGTGAGGGGAACAGCTCTCACCCCTCTCTCCAGCTTACACACTAGACATCAATTTGGCAGCCAGCAGCAAATGCCATTAAGGCAGCGAGATACTTAAAGGCATCAGCAGCTCCTGGCCCATTACAAGAACAAGGAGATGGACTCTGGTAATGCATATCTGAAACTTGTCACATCCAATTGGAAGCAAGGATCCTACTGAGACAAATATTAGGAGTCTGCAAAGGCAAGGGATGGGAATAAGCTTGTTCATTAAAGGACTTTCTCCATATTCAAGGGACCAATGCAGGGGAAACAGCAACAAAAAACCACAAAATGAAACTCTCCATATATTTCCGTTTTGGGCCAAGAGAATTGAATTCATGAGTAGCCTATCATACCTGACATTTCCTAATGTCAGGTATTAAAGCCTATTAAACCCCTGGCTGACTTTTGCATTTTCTAGATGAAAAAGGTGGAATATGGACAAGCACAGGCTAAACCAGAGTAATAATTTTCTCTGTGGATCTGTTCTGGCTGTGCAGACAACAATGGCCCTGTTTATTTTGCTTGTCCTGGAAACTGCAAGACAACAGCATGGTAGCTCTGGGAAACTTGGAGATACAGCCACTAATGGCAGACAGAAGACTACCAGCCCTTCTTCCCCATCAGGTCAGGCTGTGATCACAAACTTGCCCTCTTGAGCCTCCCTGCTGCTCCATGCATGACAGCCTGGTGTTGGGTCCCATTACCCATTTAGCTTCAGAGCACATACTCTTGCACATAACCACTCATCAGGTCAGATTGCCCAGAAGGGACACAATGAAGGTGGCACACAAAAATCTGACACCTCCAGCACAGCTGTCCACCACTGCTTGGCTCTGCTATCTGCTAAGCTTTCATGTGCTGGGAACTAACTAGTCTTACTCCACTCCCTGTGCCAAAACCATATTAACAAGATGTGTGCAAGTCAGAGGCAAGTCTGGTGCCAACATGCTTCACCATCCTCTCTGTATGCCCGAAACCAGGCTCTGCCCTGCTGGGTAACACAGCTGGAGATCCACCTTGGGAAGGCAATGCCCAAAAGCTAAGCACTGCTGCTTCACTGAGCCTGAGAGCATCCTTCTCTGGCCTGTTGCCCTGTGCTCTGGGTATGTGGTCAGCAGTGCAGCTCGAGACCAACCACATCTCCCAGATAAGCATAGGGTGTTGTGTCCACAAGGTCCATCTGAGCTTTTACTTTCCTGCACTTAAACCAGAGGTTCAAATGAGGAGAGTGGCACTAAGATGCTGCCCTGCAAGAGCCCCAGGGCCCCCAGCTCCTGGCATCACTGACTTCTGCTATAGCACAGTGCCACCAAAGCCACAGCGCTCATCTCAACTACTTCACTCCTCAGGCCTTCAAGTCTGTACACTAAATCCCCACAGTGGCACCACCAGGACACAAGAGCACGTGGCATTAAGCCTGTCTTACATATCCATCCCTAGCAATATGCACCTGAGGAGGTGATGCAGTGATTATCAAGTGGAGTAGACATCTCCTCCCGTCTCTGTGAACACAAGCCACACCATGATGCAGCATGTGATTGCCTCGGTTAGGCCACCAGTGGGGCAGAGTTGGTTAGGAAAGGGTGGGGTGGCTCTTTTGAAAGTCACACACTGCCTGCACCCCTGAGAGTTACCACTGGAGTACCTGAAGGGAAGGTAAAACAGGCAACCCTGAGTTAAGTGGTCCGGATAAAGCCCTCAATAACTTGTATTTCCCATACCTGAGGGTTCAGCTGTTTTTTCTGACCATTTCTCCATGTCCTCTCTGCCACCTCAGAGAAGCTTCTTGCTCCATGCACACAAAGAGCCAAGCTGAGTTTGTGGTGAGAGAAGTTCATAGGTGCTTTTGAGAGACTCCAGATCTGTACCCAGAGTTTTGCATTTGCAGATGCACATGTTCAGACCTATCCATATGCCACAGTTTACATGCACAAACCCCAGTGACCCTTTCTTTTCCACTTCACCCCTTTGAGGAGGCTCTGAATACTTGGAGAAGACAGTCCTACGCATTGCCCACTAATACAGCCCTGGATATAGAGAAGGGCCTGACTGTCACCAGTGCTAACTGACAGCGAGGCCCGCAGACTTCAAAAAGGCAGGGAGGGCATAGACAATTTCTGAAAACTACGCTGTTACTGTCTTCTTTCGTTTACAAGGTCAGATTTTTCTTTTTGTGATGGTATGGTCCGTGACACTGGCAAAAAGTCAAAATTAGGAGGCCCATATAAGGACACAGGCACTGTTGCTGGGTGACATTTGACAGGAAATCCTGCTTGCATCCACAATATTGCACAGAATCACATCACATAATTTTTAATGATTTTTGATGGATGATTTCCTCTAGGCCTCATCAAAACTGGGCAAACTAGCTTCAAACTCCAGACTATTCTGTAGGAGAAAGTGGTACAAGGAGCACCATGACAAAAGGAAGTTTTAGGGCTTTGTCTATTACTCTGTTTCTCTATGTTAAGATGGCCAGCAGAAAGGAGACAAACCAATTCATCAACTCATTATGTAATTACTGTTTTATAAACTGATTTAAAAATATAATCTAACCATAGTAATTTAAACTGGAAAAAAATGTGATGATGCTTGGTTTCAGACTGCAACATCAATAAAGTTGTAAGGCACAGTCATTTGGAACAGCAACTCAGTCCACTGTCCCACTAAAACAAATGTTTTAAATCTCACCCAAATATAAAGCAAATACCCTATCGAAAAAACAAGAGATTATTCCCTTACTTCCCTGCCTTGTCTTTGCTGCATCATCACTTAAAATCATTCAGTTTTGCTAAATTGGAAAGTCTATTTGGTCTAAAAAAGCTAGAGGTGGGATGGAGGCTAAAGGCACATGCAGGGGATGCTCTGACACCTAGTGCCAGAGATCAATTCTGCTAAAGAAATTTTGGAATGCAATGTCTAAAGTAAGAGAAGTCCTTCCAGGTAGCTATGGAGCAAACAAACATGTTAGTACTGGGATAAGTCACTTGTTCAGCATTTGCTCCCATAGCAATGCACCTAATAAGGACCTCTGATGCCTGTGAATGGGGTGAGATCCTGTGGGGGCATAAGCTCTGAAACCATCCAGCCCTCCTGGGCTCTTCTTCAGGAAGTGCACCCCTCCCTTAGAACCTGCTCCAGTCAACACTTCTTCTCAAGACCTTGGTTTTGGCCCTCACATGTTAAACATTTATGACTGCAAAAGGCAGATGACATGGCTGCTGCCTCATCACTGCCTCCGGCCCACTCCCAAACAGCAGGCTCCATGCTCTGCTTTGTTCAGTGTCCCTGCTTGACTCCCAGAGCAGGGCATGGTGTGGTGGAGAGGAAAAACGATAGAATTTGTTCTGTTTTAGAGCACAAAAGTTGCAAAAATAACCATGTTTTTCTGTAATAAGAGGTTCATTAGCTCCTTGGTTGATCAGCGGTTGTTCTTTAAAGTATTTCTGGACCATCTGTACCCTGAATTGAGGCAAATCATGTCATTTGTTTGAATTGCTCTACTTGCACAGCTCTGTGTTTAGCTTGCAGAAGAAGCTGAAAGATAGCATTGATCCTTCATGACTGTTCTGTGTATATGGCTCCAACACATGCTGAAAACTGAGTATTTTCTAGGACTGAGGACTTCTGTTCTGAGATGTTGTGGCAGTGGTACTGTCTGGCAGTGGCTCCAGCACAGCTCTGGCAGTCAGGGGCCAAGAAGCATGTGTTGGCCCAAACCTCTCTGAGGCTTTTGTGGATGAGCAGACAGCTGGATGCCGGTGGTTGATCTCTCCAGAAGGTCTCTCATCCATGATGGGCCTGAGGAAAAGAAAGAAATGCTTTGGCAAGACTGCACTCTGGATCTGGGTATCTGCATGCGCCTCACCAGCTCTGAAAACTGATCCGAAAGCTGCCAGGCCTGGGATAAGCACAAGGAACATCAGCTTCCCACATAAGGCATGTGTTCTCTGCCTGTACTGACTCCATAATGACTATGTTAACTGAAAATCAGGCTGTCATGTCACAAGTCCTCAGCTGTATTTCTTCAAAAAGCAACACGATGCTAATCTTACAGTAAGTGGGTTCAGAAATAACAATGTTTTGGTGCATGTGACACTTCTCTAATGCCTATTTTATTTTCCAGAGCTCATTCTAATGTGAATTCATGTCAGGGAAAAAAACCTAAGTGGGATGTCAGGAACTTGTCCTGGAGTTTACTCGAGGAGAGTCTTGAACAAACGACACAACAAGAGCTGTGCAACAGACACAGCATTGGCTCTGTGTGAGGAACATGAGAATGGATCAATAAGAACACAGCAAAATTCTAGGCTATTATTGAAGAAAATACAAAATTTCTAACACTCAAGCTATAAGGAACATGAGAAAATGTTTCATTTAGCATTAGACAGACAAAGGTAAATGTCAGCACAAATAAAAGGAATTCTCTTTACAGAACAGGGAGTAGACCCCGTAGAAAACACAGAAGCCTGCTTTTTTCCTGCCGTGAAGTCCCTTCTGTTTTCCCCAGACACATTGCAGGCATTGCTGTCAGCAGTGCACATACCTGATCCTTGTTGATCCAACAGCTGTTGGTCCTGGAATAGGCCTTTGCTGGCTGGTGCAGCCAGCAGGCTGGTGCTGCCCTTGGGATCCAGAGGCAGACAGCATCTTGTGCAGGCTCAGGAAAGCAAGTTCTTCGTCCAGAGGCTGGGCTGAATTTTCTTTATGAGCCCTTGACTGGCATCGCTGTGTACGCTGCCTGTCCTCCTCTTGGCTGGGTATTTTTAGGCATCTTACCCTGTGGTTTCTTGTTTTCCAGGATCTTGCTGCAACACTCATTAAAGATGCAGGTGAAGGGCTTTTTGGAGGGGATGGAATTAAACAAGGGCTTGGGTTGGAGAATACTGCACCCTCCTGAGTCTGTGATGAACCTGAAACAGAGTGAAAAGCACAGTGACTTACCAGTTCATCTTACTCCTACACGACTAATCCAGTGAGTCCTTTTGGAGATGCTGTGTGATGGAGATGGGTGGGCAGATGTGTCCTGGGGCACACAGTGATGCTGGCCTTGTTGAACTGATTCCTCTGATAGTCAGGGGTTTGGGTTCCTTGGCAGCCTCCCTGCCAGTTCTGCTGGTGATGTGCTAAGCACCACAACTGCTCACAAGCCACGCAGAGCTCAAGAAAGACAGACCAGCTCACCCGCCCTGCTGTTCTCAGGCAGGATCACACCTGCATCATTCCTGGCCAGTGTTTGCACTGACTTGTTTCAAATACCTGAGGACTCCTTCCAGCGATCTGAAGTGCAATGCACAGGAATAACCACGCATGAGTGGATCTACTTTTTTTTATTTGGCTCAGAGATCATAGAATCTCATAATTTTGAGATTAGCTTTAAAATTACAGAAAGTGCCTGACTGCCAGGGAACATATTGCACTATATGCAGGGCTACTACTTGGCTGTTCATACTTCAGCCCATGTAACCTTCAGGTGCAGCACACAGAGAAGAAAAAACTTGTTGCTGACTTATACAACGAGCATGCATATATGCTTAAAACCATTCTATACATAGCAGGGATCTGATTGCTCTTGTCTATTGAAAGAACCAACCATTCTATATATAGCAGGGATCCAGTTGCTCTTGTCTATTAAAAGAACCAACTGTACCTAAGTGCCTAATGTGCAGGGTCCAGGGCAGGAACATAATCTAAAGAATGTGCCATAAAAAACCCAGGCCCAGAAAGTTCAGCTTGGTAGCTCCTAGTTGAGGGGGATGTATTTTACTAGCTAGGTAACCACATAAAGCTGGTATAAAATTTTCACTGAATAGTTTGCATCATATTATGCTTTTAAAATGTCTAAACTTCATAGGGTTTTAAAATTTGTTTTTAAGTATAGACACACTGAGAGACTGGTATGCCTGACTCAAGAGCCTGAAATAACATTCAGTGCCTTCCAAAGAGTGCAGTTTATATGGATCTGATGCTGCAAACACTGCGTAAGAGTGGCTTTACTCAGATGACTTGTCCTTTTCTGGTCAGAAGGATTGCTTCCAGCAACAAGTTCTTCTGTGACAAACTCACATTGGGTAGGACACACTTCTGCTTTTGATTTGGGATCTGGGTCATTCACCCCTGCCACCTTAGATAATAACAGATTTCAAACCACTCCATAATCTCCCAGCAGATTTGGTTACAAAATGGTCAGATCTATGCCCAACCATTCACTGTCTTAGTACTATATGGCATGACACTGGTACATTGGGAGATGTTTGTGACATTGCCTTCTCAATCTACAAAGATGATGAGACCATAATATTCAATCTAAAGAAATAACATAAAATCTAAAAAGATAACATTAAGTCTGAAGAGACTATGAGATCATAATCTTAAGTCTTCTGTGGTCACTGGACAATAGACCATTCCTTTAGATTTTTCCAAACAGCTTCTGTTATTGTTAAGGAGATATTGTTTACATCACTGTTAATACACACAGAGGCTTTGAATAGTTTAATGATATTTCTGTTTTTTTCCCCAAATATATTGTATTTTTCCAAATTTTACTAGATCCATTTTTGCCCTTGAAAGAAATATAAAATGAAAACTCATGTACTTTTATTTATTGAGAAAAAAGAGTTATTATTAACAATAGAAAAAGATTTAAGTTGTAATTTTGTGAGGTCCTCTATTTGATATGTATTTGGAATAACAGTTATTAACGTTTCTGATATTTTTAAAGACAATATTCAACAAATGTTCATTCATATAAAGGCAATTTCAGAGAAGCCTTTGGTTTTGTTCCTGAGTAGAAGAGCATGTTTTGTTTTTAAACTCTTGAGATCAAGGGAAGATCTCATTAAAGGTCTACAACTTCTTTGTGAGGGGAAGAGGAAAGGCAGGCACTGATCTCTTCTCTGTGGTGACCAGGGACAAGACCCGAGGGAATAGCCTGAAGTTGTGTCAGGAGAGGTTTAGGTTGGATATAAGAAAAAGGTTCTTCATCCAGAGGGTGGTTGGGCACTGGAACAGGCTCCCCAGGCAAGTGGTCACAGCACCAAGCCTGATAGAGTTCAAGAAGTGTTTGGACAATACTCTCAGGCACCTGGTGTGACTCTTGGGAATGGTCATGTGCAGGGCCAGGAGTTGGATTCAATGATCCTTGTGGTCCCTACCAACTCAGCATATTATGTGATTTTGTGATACCTTTAGTTGCATATCTTTCCAGAATTCCCAGTTGCCCAGTTAAACCTTAATCATTAACTCAGTCATTATTTACATCAATGCCAACTGAGTTCAAATATAGCTCAGTTGGAATGACAGTATTTCAGACTCACCCAGCACTGTCATAAATTAATGACACAAAGTAAAAGACAGAGGCATGTCCTTCCTCTATACTTGATGCTAAGTTAGTGTAAGATCACCTTTGATCCTCTTAATTCTGCAGATCCATGCTGAAATATATCAGCTGATGGTCAACACAGCTGGCCACCATGTCCTGCTTTAAAACTGGAACGGATTATTTAGGCTCTGGCTCTGCAATGGTATTTCCAAATTACTCCTCTAGAGCACAGAAGCCACATCTCATGAAACACTGCAGTTACCAATACACATATCTACAAACAGTAGCCTGTGTTACTACCCTGATGCTAACCCTTCCCCAGAGGTTTTGGTCCAGTACCTGAGGAAGACCTGGAGAGACTGGAGTGGCAAGAAGAATCAAGCGAAATCCTTTCAACGAGGTCCTCATCATAGGCCTTCCTCAACTCATCTTCAGAGCTGTCAGTCAGGCTGAAGTTTTCACCCTCTTCCTCATGATTAAGAATTACCTTTGAAGCTTGGTTGGCTTGTTCTTGCTGACCTGTTTGCAGGCACCTGGACAACATCAAGTATCCCATCTTTAGTTAGCCCTTTGAGTGGGTTTATGCAGCCAGTCAAGTGCAGTTGGCATGGCCATTTAGGCAAACACCTAGGCAGATTTAGTTATCCACTCTTATTTCACACTTTTCGGGTGATATGAAAAATAATTCTAATTGGATCAGCCATCTAAGATGTCTGTGTCTGATTATCTGAAAGTGTCCTAAAGTTAATCAGGTGAAGTGGGGCAGATTTAAAATACTTCCTAGTAAAGTAAGCTCAGAGAAATAAACCCATTTTTACTTCCAAAATAATCATTACCTGCCTGTGAGATGGGGGAATCTCAGCATGATGTTATTTGTCTTTCAGCCTTTCATTTGGTTAGGCCAATGTGCTGCTTGAAGAAAACCTCAACAACTTTCAGCTCTTCTACTGTCTGAAGGTAGACACCGTCAGGGCCAAGAATGGCTTACCAGTTATAAAAAGTCATTTCCCTGCTCTGGCTAAGGAAGTGAGCCCACTCTGCCTATGCTGGACTTCAGTTTGCTCTAGAGAGAGGTCAGAGGGTTTTTCTTCCTCGACCAGATGCTCGAGGCAGGAGGACAGATGGAAGGATTGCCAGCCTGTTCCAAAGCAGGGACAGGAAGGCAGGAGGCCAAGACTATCCCTCGAAACCGCCACCAGGTGGCCAAAGCGCTTATTTTATTTTTGCAGGAGAAAATGAATGCCGACTTCATTGCACGACAGGAACTCTCCCGCGGTCTCACCTCTTCTGCTGCTCTCTCCATACTCTCAGTTCAGAAGACACATTTTCCTGGTGCACATCTTTTCCTCCTCCAGAGCCATAAACGTTTTCTGTCCTCAGACTGCTCAGTTTCAAAGGGCTCACTGCAGGTGGCTGTGAAAACGACAGAAGTTATCTTGATAACTTTGGGAACTCTCCCCAGCTCTGTTTCTAGATGTGGAATTTAGAAGGCATTAAAGTTCAGTTACCTCTGAGTTTTTAGATAATCCCTCACCATTTTCTTACCCTTCAGTTTTAACAAGTCCCACACCACAGTCATGTGCTGTTACAGCCTGAGGAACCCAGGGTGGCAGTGACAAAACTGTTGATTTACATTTCACTAGCATATGAGCCTGTAGCATCTATACCAATAAACATATTAAGACTGGTACCACAGAAACTGCATCATTCAGTATATGACCACAGTCCCATTCCACATCCCAGTTTATAACACAGTAATTCACTCAAATGTTCAAATTTTTTTCAGAAAAGCTTCCAGCGCTCAGGCAGTGGCAGCAGAAAGACAAGAGTGGGATATATTTTTTCACGCAGTTCTTTAACATCTGTTGTCAGCACTAAGTCAGGCTGCTGACAGTGCAGTGATGCAGGTGTCCTGTGCACGCTGTCTCCCTGATTTAGCACAGCCTGTTTAAACCTGCACTCGTGTCTGTGCTGTGTTAAACCTCAGGGCCCACAAAGCGTGATGAGACGGGCTGCACCCCTTTACATACATGGGTGTCCTCTCACTAAGCTACTGCTGAAATGAGCAGGCTGACCCGCAGGGCTGGGCTACCACCCCACTGCCAAGAGGCACAAACTTTGGCTTTGTGTTTGTTTAGTCGATGGGAACGACCTTGCAGAATTAGCAATCTGACTAATTATGCCAAATAACAAATAACATCAAAGAACCACTGACGTCTTTTGCTTAATAACTGTTGTAGAAATACCATCAAATTTTGTAATCCTGTCTTGCACTTTGCTCACTGCAGGATGATAAAGAAATCTGCCACCAGCAGCTGGTATGTGATTTTCACGTGTTCCTTTACAGGTGATGTTTAACTGCTGCTAGCACATGGGCACGTCCAACATCATGGCAAGAGACCCTCTGTCCTCCTCAAGGGCATTAGTATGTTGTGGGGCTTTTGGGCAACAGAAGAGAGTGAGCTGATACAAGCCATATTGGGAGTTCAGTTTATCCCAGGATTTGTGGGGGTCACCAGGCAGGAATACAAAGTCTACAAGAGAAACATACACCTAGTTTTTGCCTCCTTTCACGAAGGGCCTTGGTGGGGTTCCCACATATAACTTGACTGAGTCCTAGGAAAGAGAGGAAAAAAGAAAACATTTTACTCCAGTGATTAACAAATGATGCAGTCTTTGAAATCAGTCAACCTTTTCCAAATGTGCCCTCAGCTGATTGACTCTACATTGCTTCATCTCATTCATCATCCTGAGTCCCACCTATAGCAAGAACTGAGGAGAGACTGGCATCTGAGAGAAGCAGGTAAGCCTGGAAACAAATAACATCTTCCTATCTAATCTGCACTCTGTGGGATGGTGGAGCTGCACCATCAAGTTGCTTCCAGAAGCCAGGGAAGGATGTCTTGGGAAGTGCCAAATATTGTACCATAAGTGAACTTCCTCTATATCCAGCTGTCCCCGGGAGCTACTGACTTTGTAGTACTTCCAGGTGACCAGAGCAAGAAGAGCAGTGGAACCCCTGTGTTTTGGGCTAGTCTGTAGATCGGGTATGTGAAGTTAAGGAACTGACTCCTTTTGCTAAGGGATCAACCACAGCAAACACAAAAGAAAGTGCTCATTGACCACAGCGATGCTGCTGCAGTATGAGACTGCAGAACTCATAGCCTGAGCACATGATCCAATGGGGAGTGAAGGAGCATCACCACACCTTTATACAGGACTACCTTGGACCACATTCCTGTGACTGAACAGGATGTGCCCAGGTGTTAGTCTGTAGCAGTTCTTAGTCCAGGGAGCCCCAGCCAGGTCAACATATTAAAGGGCTGAGCAGGACAGCTTCGCTGAGGCATGAAAGGCAAATGTCAGCAAGGGAGCACCACTGCAGTATGGGGCTGTCAGGAGGGACAGCAGCATATGATGCATGGGGGTGAGGGGCTGAAGAGTGGGCAACTTTCACCTTCTGCTGCAGGAGGAAATAAAGGAAAGCTTACAATAGAGCAGGTGAGTCTTTCTTGGAAGAAAACATATGCTGAACCTGATCTAGCAGTGACATGGGTGGGTGGTATTCAAAGCACCCAAGCTTTCATCAGTACTAATAACATTCAGAAGGAGGTGGAGGTGTGGGAAAGAACAGGATTAAAAAACACATTACCATGTGTCAAATCACTGGAGTCATCTTCTGAGAACAGCATATCAGAAACAGCAGGATCTGGAAGAGGACGGCTACCATATAAGAGGTGGGCATCACTAAATCTCCCTACATTAGCAGACCACTGTGCATTTCCAGGTCTGGAAGCTGTTGGGGGTCTTGGGCCACATCCAGACTGCCTTGCTACTGCCCCAAGATACGGATCTAAAAGAAAGATTTCACTAGTGAAAGCACAGTTGTGTAAGGCTTCAAACCACACCATCGCTGTACATAGCCAATATAACTGGCTGCTGCACATTTGAAGCTATAGGGCACAGAAAAATATGTAATTGCAGCTACAAGAAACATGCTGGAATGGGTCAAGCCTAGAGAAAGAGGGTTTTCTGTGCTGCACACAAGCCATTCTAACTGTTATTTGCAGATGGCAGAATGTGGGATGCCCAATCAAAGTAATACCCCTTCCCCACTTAGGGACAGACTACTGGGGTCAGGAACTGCTCTGTGCTCACCATCCACCTCTGGTTGTCCCATAGGTGAATCTGGATGCATCCAGGGCTCTGCTACTTCCCCTGCCCTCATGCCCAGGATAAGTGTAAGCTGCCTCTCATTTGCTGCTCACTTGCCCATGGGGGAACCATTGCAGACTTGCCACAGGCACAGCCTAAGCTCCCAGTCTTAAAATACGTTGCTTAAATGCCAAGGCACAACACAGATGGTTATGGCCACCTTACCAGAGCAACTAGACAATCAGGGCAAACTGTGTACCAGAGTTACAGAAATCTAGGAATGGCAGCGATAGGTTTTTCCAGTACTGCCTCAGAGACAGATACTTCTCTACCACAGAAAGAAAGGTGAAAACTGCATTTTTGTAATGCTACAGGACAGTGTGAATTACAAAAGCTAGCAAAGGCACTCAGAGCCTTGTCTTCTTACCTGCCCAAATGCTGGCTGTCCTGGGAGCACAGCACAGATGTAAGAACAGCATATGCAGCCAATAACCCACAGAAGAGTGAATTTAATTTCAGTGCCTAGATGAATAACGCCTTTGTAAAGTGTTGAGCATCTACCAGCTCCACAGTGAGCCATCAGCTCTGTAATAATAGGGCCATTTCCTTAAGAGCTGAGTGTCTTTAATGTATCTCAGCCATAGCTGTTAACACAAACTCATGAAATACATAGCATGTGAAAAGTATCCAAGTCAATATTGGTATAGGAAAGAAAAAATATGGCAATGTCTGAACCTGACGATATGAGCTCATCTTTTAGAGCTGACAGCAAGAAGATAAGTTTGGTTACATGAGGAAATGACATGAAATCACAATTTTGTGCTCTGTCCCTACTGCTTCTGTCAGCAAACTTTGTTAACTAGTTTTCTGAACCACAGGTGATGTTACCAAAGTAGGATCACTGAGGGATCAGATTTTAATGGATTTTTTCTCTACCATAACTACTATTACAACTAATGATTTGGACCCATAGGGATTAAATAAATGACAAATGTATGTACTTATTCCAAAACAGATTAAATTTTTAATGGAGTACAATTGGCAGGCAAACCACAATTGAGGGGTGGGGGGCTAGGAAGCCAACTGCATTGCCCACGCTAATGGGAAGCAACAGGAGCAGTTATAGGAAATACTTTGCAATATTTAATGGTATGTGGTAAAGTGCATGTAGCATGACACTTAAAGCATGGACATCTGAACTACTATCAAGGCTGTAGGTAAGGAGACAACAGATTTACTTTCAAACCATTTACTCTCTACTAATGAATGTAATGGACTCAATCACAGTGGAAGAGAAAATACAACAGATCTCTTATGAGACCATGCAATCCTGATGGGATGTTGCTACCACTGAGGGGTGATGACCGAATTCCCTTTCCTATTATTAAATTGGAATAGGAAATACTACTACATACATGTTACATGGGATTAACTGTTCCCATGGAAAGGGATTTGAACAGCTGTTATCGAAACATTCCTATCCAAGCTTTGCTTCTTCCCATCATGCAGAATGAACCCTAAGTACAGGCTCCCAGCTACTGCTGGATTTGCTTGATGCTCTATAAGTTTTCTGCATTTTCCTGATCTTGATACCCAGCTTAGGACAACTTTCATTCAAATCTGCACTCTTATCTGCTGAATTAAAACCTTCTTACTTCCCAGGTGAAGAAGACAACATCCTTTGTCCCTTCACTATAATTAAATGTTGGCTTTGAGAGGCCAGCTTGCTCTTCATCTTTCTTTCTTCATATCACATAACCTGAAAAATGAACCCCAGTAGGAAACCTGTCATACCTAACCACGAAATGTCTCCAGCTAAACCACCTTCCTTGATGGAGTCCTTGATGATTAGACAATCTTCATACATCTTCTTGGAAGGAAGGGGAACAGTCTGGCTTGCTGGTATTTTGTCCAAATACTTCAAGTGGGGAATAAGTTTTTTTACTTCTGCTCTGTAATTATAACCTGGTTCCTGAAGAAATTGAGAAAGTGGTCAGTTTAACAGTCTCTGGACTTCCACCAGGAGCACAGCACTCTTCAATTTGTATGACTGCCATATAACTCAAAAGGTTTTCTACGAAGCAAACCTATTCATCTCATTTGACAGATACAAATACAGTCAGGAGTTTCATTTCACTGTGCTTTCTCCTCACATAATTTCTACTTGAGTTGATCATGAACATGTCCTGAGCAGTGAAGACCTGACCTTCACCAAAGGCTCATTTGCTGTTTACCCACTGGTGACTTTGGTATTTGTCTTTGTTGTATTATTTGTATAATTTGCAAAAGTATAGAAGGCCAGTGATGCCCATGGAAAGCCTGGGCTCCCTCAGCATTCAGCGAGTCTGTCTCCCTGCTTTTGTGATTCTCTGGTTGTTGCATCAACACTCAGGTGATAGGAAGACTTGAAAACATATTATGAGTGTTGCCACACCAGCTGATGGGAAAAGAAAGAGCATTTTCATGGATCGTGTTTTTAGGCCCAACCATAAATCATCTACAGTCAATGAACTGCACTGATTTTCTGGGGCAGTCTTTGGGGGTTTGGTGTCTGATTTTACACACTGCTAGAAGCAAAGGCTTACTTCAAACTATCTTTTTTCATGCAAGAGGTAGCATGCCAACAGCAGGTGCACAGAAGACTAAAATGGGCTGCAGTTTGGTTTCTTTTCTGTGTGCTGGAAAAACAATATGATTGTTCCTGATGCACAAGGCCTCAGTGTGACAGCCATGGGGAAAGCACTGGTGTAGCCCCTCTCTGCATGCGTGGGTGGAGCTGACATGTTATAAAATGATTCATGAGCTCAGAGCTGGGGGACCTCTGAGCAGCAAGGCCAATCCAGAACAATTACATCTGTGCTCAGAGCACAGTGCAAATTGGGCTGTTTTGGTGGATTCCAGCAGTAGAAAGAAATCTTCTTGTGGTACCTTCACCTTTGGGAAAACTTAAACATACCTCAGGGCTAACTGGGCTGTACTGGTTTGCAGTGGGAATATGTTTGGTTAAAGCAGTCTTGGATTACAAAAGGCAGCTAATGGTCTTGCAATCTCTTCTACTAAAAAAACTATAAAAGCAGAGTGGACTACTAGTAACAGAATAAAAATTGACAGCTACCTACAGATCAATTGCTTAACCCAGGTAAATGTTACACTTTTTGGGACATTGCATGTCACATTAGAAAACCCCACAAAGTCCTCATTCAATACAGAGTTGCCACAAACAAGTGTTTCTGTGGGACCTGACAGGCTGGATGCTCTTTCCCTTTGTACGGTGCAGCACTGACGCTGGCAGAAGGAACTCACCAAACAAAACGTGTTTGTTGTTGTTAAGAGGCAGACACTAATTTTCTCTAACTAAGCATTTAATCCTAGTTTAGAAAATGATTCAACCATTCACAGCTAAAGCCACTTTCCAGCCATGTCCTGTTGGAGAGAAGAATCATGTTACGTTCACGTTTCATTACTGTAACAGAGGCTGCAGAATTTATCATCAGGGTTACTCTTGGTTTAGATAACAGGGGAAGATGAGCTCATCTGAAAATCAAATCACAGGGAGCAAACAGGCCATCTGAAGAAAGAATAGTAAATTTAGTTGGACCATTCTGTAGATTACAAGTAAATAAGTAGGAGAGCTTTTACAGACCTGTAGCAAGAGCCAGACTTGTAGTAGAAGACTTGTAGAAGGAGCTTGAGAAATTAGAGCCAGCCATCTAGGGTACACCAAAGTAAGCCCACATCTATTCTTTTCTATATTTCAAGTGGCTTTTCTATACCCTGAAGAAATGCAAACATCAGTCGAAACCAGAAAAGCAACAAAGTCCACGGGGAAACTCTCGGCAGCCAAGGGCTGGATCCACTTTGTAACCACCTGAGGGCAAAGCAGCTTCCCAATACAGACACTGGGTGGGACACTAGAGTGAACTCACAGTCTGTCTCTGTTACAACTCAGTGTAAAACACACAGTTGTGCAGACTCCCTCAACAAATCCTGCCTGGCATTTGAACGCAACTGTTTGCACAGAAGTAGAGACAGCCATTCTGTGTGAAGAAGAGCAGTAGGGCACACCACCACACATCACTCCTCTTTGCACTCCCGTTATGTGACAACATGCAGCAGCATCCCAAGGAAATCTCCTCCCCTGAACAAGCCATAGGAAATCTGACATTTCTCCATTACAAGTTCATTTAAGGACTAAAGATACCAAATGAAAACTACATCCTCCAAAATCATCACTTCCATTGAGCAGGAATGATTCAACAGAGTAGAATCAGACTTTCTGCGCCATTAGGACACACTGCACTATTTCCATGGTAGGAAGCTATAATGACGAAGTGTCAGAAGTTGTATTTATCTTCATGGGAGTAAAAAGAATAAACAGACATGCTTTGTCCATCACTAGCAGGCAGTGCTTTCTTACTGTGGGAACATGTTTTCTTCCTCTCATGATTGCATCTTCCATAACGAAGGAATGTTGATGGAGAAATTATTCTGATTACAAGTAGTTACAAGTGTGGTCTCTTAAGTACACTTTCACCATTTCAAAACAGAAAGGCAAGTATATAACATTTTCTCTTGAATTCCAGAGAGGAAAATTATGACAGCTAAAGAGCTGCCTTCCATGGCCCCTTTCACTGAGTGATATGATCAAGCCAACAATTACATCTGAAAAATGCTATTAACTCATGCATCTAAAAAGTGCCAAGATTTAAAAAATACACATCTACTACATGATTGAGTTTTACTGTTAGCACCTGTTTTCAAGTCTAAGTACAGGACAAATATCAAACCTTACCTCTTAGGCAAATAAACAGCATGGGCATGATTACTTTGAAATGCATAGTAAAGCTATGGAAAATGGCACAGTGGGATCACAGTGTCAACTCCTGCTCTGATTTTTGAACCCTGCATTACCAGTTCTTTATGGAGCATAGGGAATTGCACCATCCTTAGTGAGTGCTATGTATTACATGGCTCCATCTGTGTGTGCATAGGCCTCTGACCTTCCAAAAGACCTGGATGCCAGTCTGTTGGTACACTGACCATAAACAGTCAATGACATGCATTAGAAATTATGTGACCAAAATGAGGAATGGCCTTTTGTGGCCAAGTGTTTTAAACTCTTATTTTCCTCCAGTTCCCTTCTCAGTACATGCCAAGATGCTTTTTTTAATAACCCAGTAATACTTTTTTATGAAGCAGGAGAAAGTGAAAGAGAATAATACAACTCTGAGACTGTTCATGTAGAATTAGATTTCCCTTGCTGTGCTTTCCTTGTTGACTGCCCTGAAACCCAAATCAGAAAACGTATTACTGTGTTCTCATCTTTGTGACACAGAGGATCTCATGCCCTCAACAAAATACCTCAGTAGAAATTATTGTATCATTTCAGCACATAAGAGGTGAACCACTGTATTTTGTATCCTCAGCTTTTTATGAAGGTCTTTTTGATCATTTGATTTTAACATTTCAGGGGAAAGGGCAACAAGCAGTTCCTACAACATAGTTACCTCAAGCATCATTTTCTGAGGGTTCAACTTTTGAGCATGGTGGTGTTGAAGCACTTGCTTTTGGACTGGAGGACCTCCAAAGGAAATGCAAAAGCCTCAAAAATTGGATATCTAATTACAGAATCATAGAATCACAGAATGGGGGTTGGAAGAGACTTTTGGAGATCTTCTAGTCCAAACCCTCTGCTACAGCAGGTTCACCTAGAGCAGGTTTTACAGGATCATGTCCAGGTGGGTTTTGAGTATCTCCAGGGAAGGAGACTCTACAGCCCCTCTGGGCAGCCTATTCCAGCGCTCTGTCACATTCCAAGTAAATAAGTTTTTCCTCATATTCAGATGGAACTCCCTGTGTTTCAGTTTGTGTCTGTTGCCCCTTGTCCTGTTGCTGGGCACAAGTGAAAAGAGTCTGGCCCCTTCCTCTTAACACTTGCCCTTGAGATATTCATATGCATTGACAAGATCCCCTCTCAGTATCCTCCAGGCTAAACAGGCCCAGCTCTCTCAGTCTTTCCTCATAAGCAAAGGGCTCCAGTCCCCTAATCATCTCCCTGGCCCTCTGCTGGACCCTCTCCAGCAGTGTCTTGTCTCTTTTGGAGTTGGGAAGCCCAGAACTGGACACAGCACCCCAGGTGAGGCCTCACCAGGGCAGAGTAGAGGGGCAGGATCACCCCCCTTGACCTGCTGGCAATGCTCTTCCTAATGCACCCAATTACCTTCTTGGCCACAAGGACACGGTGCTGGCTCATGGACAGCTTGTTGTTCACCAGGACCCCCTGGTCTCCTTAATCTTCCTTTTGCTACTGATGTAATTGAACAAGCCCTCCTTGTTGTCCTTGATAACCTTTGCCAGATTTAATTTTAACTGGGACTTAGCCTTCTTCATCACATCCCTGTATATTATATTCCTATATAGTTGAAATACTATCTTTCTGTATTCCTTACAAGTGGCCTGTATTTTCCACGTTCCATAAACTTCCTTCTTCCTTTTGAGTTTTGTCAGATGCTCCATGCTCATCCAAAAGGCCTCCCGCCCTTTTGCCTGATTTCTTACTCATAGGGATCCACCAATCTTGAGCTTAGAGGAAGTGAAGCTTGATTATTAACCAGCTCTCTTGGACCCCTCTATCTTCTAGATCCTTAACCCATGGGATTCTTCCAAATAAGTCCTTGAGGGGGCCAAAGTTAGCTCTCCCAAAGTCAAGGGTTGTAATCCTATTCATTGCCCAGCTTCCTCCACTCAGGATCCTGTACTCCATCATCTCATGGTCACTGCAGCCAAGGCTGTCCCCAGACTTTGTATCCCCAAACCAGTCTTTCCTTGTTTATCAGTACAAGGTCGAGCTGCACACCCCTCCTCGCTGGCTCTTCCACTACCTGTGTCAAAAGGTTGTCATTAGTGTTCTGCAGGAACCTCCTCGACCGTGTGTGCTCAACTGTGCTGTCATTCCAGCAGAGATCAGGGGGAATTGAAACCTTGTGATTGGGCACATCTTGTCAGAAAAATATTGACTACTTTCTAACCTGCTGCAAGATCTCTACAGTTCAGAAGGATCCACAAAGCTGGGGGTCCATGCTCATCCTTTCAGATGCCTGTTTGCACTGCAAGCAGTGAGAAGACAGATGTGAACAGCTTATTCCTAGTTTAGTCCTGTTCTCACAGGTAAGAAGGAACACATTGCTAGGAAACAGGTCTGAGTCTTTACTAGCACTCTTGTATTTAATTTGTGGTCATCTTGGAGACCACACCCATGAGACCACAAAATCAGAAATGAAAGGTGAGAAATACATCCCATGCCATTACTTAGAATGATACAATAAAAAGATGCAGAAATGTTTTTCATTTCCAACTCAAAGTTAAAAAGCACTGACAAAAAATTAACACAATATGTGCAAACCAAGTCCTCACCTCTGCAGATTCTGCATTTGGCTTCAGGCAAATAAGGTTGCCCTCCACTGTCAGGTGGCTTAGCTTGCAACAAAGTCTCAAGTACTGCATCTGGTCGATGTCCTCAATATTGTTCCCTTCCAGGTCCAAAACCTCGAGGTGATCTAGCCAGGTCAGCTGGCTCAGCTCAGAGATATTGTTATAGGCTATGTAGAGTTCCTCAGCAGAAGTAAAGAGAATAAATATGTAAACCACAGGCTTGCACAAGTAACACTCAAGCTTTGCAAACTGTTTTCTAATACTTGAAATATGAGATTTTACAGGATGAAATTAGCAAGGAAGTGAACATTTTTCAAGCGTGGCTGTTGTTGCCCTAAATAACTGGGGCTAATATGGCAACAAACACTATGTTTTATGTGTATTCAGGATCAAACCAGACTGTCACACCTCATTGAAAAAAAGCTATATTGTAGCATCTTTTAAATATGCAATTCAAAGCATCAGACCAAAGCCATTTACGAAAACAAAGGGTGAGAACAAACACTACAAGCAAAGAGTATCAACTGAAGATAGTTCTGAGATTGTCATTTGGCAGGACACGTGTATACTTACTTTTAGAGAGCTGCAGGAAGAGATACCATCTAAATCTGAGAGCCCACAGCAAGCCATCCACAGGACACAGAGGTGGGACAATGAAGTTCCAAGATCCCTGAAAAAAAAAATAAATAAAATCAAGCTCTATTTGAATGGATGAAGAAAGTCAAGACTTCCTTTCTTTTTACTAAGACTAGACCACTGCTACATACTTCAAATCTCACATTGTTTACAAGAAATGTCATTAAAAATGTTCACCTTCAAAAGTAGGGAATAAAATTATACCCCTCTACTCCTCTCTCTCTTAGACATCTTTGTCTAAGACATGACAACATGTCACCCTAGTTCAGTTTGATTAAGACTATTCCAAGCACTATGTTACGGCAATTCTGCCATAAATCACTAGCAGTTGCTAAGGATTAAGTGAGGTTTTCTTACACTGGTGTCATTTGATCTACACACAGAACACATATGAACATATCTGAGCTGACTGCAGAGTCATCTCACTTTATCCTTTTACGGAGTTACCTTTCTTCTGATTTTGCAATTGAAAGGAATAGCATTCTTGCCAAATAACATTTTGAATTAGCAGAAAACTATAATCCTTTCCATCCTATTTTCCCACTCTGTAGATGTAGCAAAATATAAATAAGGGATCATTTACATGAAATCTAAACTTTCTGGCCCTAACCCAGAAAACCACCCACTTAACTCCACGTATATGTAACATCCCACTACATTGCAATGGTGCACAATACAAAGATAATGCAAAAAAGGTGGCAAATCAAACTGGGGCCTTAATCATCTTCCAGGTTTAGTAACATTAAGCTGCATAAAGCCCCTACTATAACATAAACAAAATACAACACTTTATCAAATCCCAAACCAACTAAAAGCCCAGAATTCTCTACTGTAGTCATGATATCAGGCTATCTGAACTAAACAGCAGGGAACAAAATATGAGGACAGCGTATCAGAGGAAGTAGAAACTAGCACGGAGTTCACAGAACCACAGCAATGGCTGAGGTTGGAAGGGACCCCGAGAGGTCATCTTCTCCAACATCCATGCTCAAGTGGGGACTAGTTGCTTAGGTCTACAACCAAACAGTTAAATAGTTCTTAGATGGAGATTCTTGGACTTCAGAATTATGGGTTAACTATATTTTATAATATCCATTCCTATAATATCCATTAAATTTTCTAGGGAAAATTTAAGAAGATATATGTCATGGGGTCCCTTCTGATCTTGGAATAAAGGTAACAGTTCATATACTCATGTCTTCTCTTTATAGATGACAGAGCTTTGCATTGGTCTCTGAAAACATCACACAGCTTTGATACAGTTCTGCAGCAGAAAACTTGTAGGTAAACTGCCTGCTTCAGGGATACTGTGCACTAAGCCAGTTCAAAGGTCAGGAAGGAGTGCTTTAACCAGTGGAGATAGATGTATACTTGTCTGTGGCTTTTATTGTTTCTCCACTACCTGAATACTTGGGAAGGACCATGTCATGAGAAAGGAGACTGCATAAGGCTGAATGGAGGAGGGATGCACGGAAAAATATCCCCAGATGCCTCTCTCCTGTGATGTACCAAAACTGGGGATTTTCATCCCTCTGCCTTCTAGGGACTGATATGTCCATGGACTTCATTCATCCTCTAGCATTGCAGGGGCTGCAGGCATTGGGTGCCTCTAATTATCCCTTCCTTGAACACTGCCAATCTAAGCAAGCTCACAATGGATACACCATACAATGTGTTTATGCAACATTTTATGATTTTTTAAGTACAAACAGTGCAGCTTAATTAATGGCCAGAACAAAGCAAAAAAGAAAAATCTCAGTCACACAACACATCTCTTTCTGTCTAAGGCTACTCCTCCTTACAGGAAAAAACTCCCAACTGACATAAACCACAATTTCTCCACCGAATTTTGTGCATCCAGGCAGCTTGCCTATACTGACACAAGGATGAAGAAAGCCCCTCATGCACAGAAACTCCTTTCATGTATAAATGATACGATTCCTTCTGCAAACTTTACCTTTTCTCTTAGCTATATGGTAACAGGGAACACCTGCCATGGTGTCACTGTTTCTGTGACCAGATAAACCCCTAAAAAGATTTCTTTCCAAGTTCTAATTCATATTTCCCTGACCCGAAGGATCGTAATGTCCCTGTTTCTCATCACATCCCAGGCCTTGCATAAGATCTTCCAGGGACTATTTACATTGTGTATATTTTGTAAATAAAACAAAAAGGGATTCTAAGGCTTCCTTAAGGAACAGATGCCTCCCAAAGTAATATTTACAGAAAATTTATTATTAGATTTGCAAGCTGCATGCCTATAATAAGAAAGAAATTAAATTACACAAACAGAACCTACCATCAAGCAAGGACAACACATCCATAAACACAAATATGGCATTAAGAATAATATGAAGGGATTACATTGTTCATTTCATGACCCACTTCAAGTACTGAGGAGATTTTCAAATTTCAGGCTAATTTTGGTGCAGAATTTTCTTTTCTGTAAACCACTGAACATACATAAAAGGAGGTAGTCACTCTCATTTTTGTGTCATTGAAACAATGCTTTTGATAGATGCTCTGTTTATTAGGCCAGCAAAACTGAAGACAATCCGAACCTGATTACTTGACATATGGTATGATAAGATATGGTTAGTGGATTTTATTTTCATGTTTTCTTTGCCTTGAATTTTCTAACTGAAGGTTTTTTGCCACAGAAGGAGATTGCAGTAATATGTTTGTTCCTAATGTTTCTCTGTCAATAAAAAGAATGCCAAAGCAGAGTAAAGAATTAATTCCCACTCAATTTTTACACAAGGTCCCAGAGAACAAAGTTATCCCACTCTAGTCCTAAAACTTTCATGCATTTGTAGGAGTCCCCTGCTCTGACTCAGAACTCAAAGACTTCCAGAGTTAAATCATATTTGCTTCTGTGTGTCACAGTTTTCAGTTCCAGTGCCAACTATGGTTAAACCCAGTGGTCAGAAATGGGGCCAGTCCCTACTCCCACTCTCTGCTACATCACACAGAGCACAAATTAGCTATGAATTATGAGCTAACAAGTCTTTAAGCATTTTCCAGCTGTGGACACCACCAGAAGAAGACACTAACTGAAATGACTTCGAAAACCTACCTACCTTATTCTTAAAAATTTATGCTGCCAAGTGTTTAGTCTCAAACCCATTCCAGTTTCATTCATGGGTTGCAGCCTGACTCTCCTACAGCTAACTGGTGCAAGCCAGGAGTAGCACATTTAAGGCTGATACTAATCAAAGTTTAGTATCAAAGATTAGTATCTGTATTCCAGACAAAGGAATTAGGTTGTATATCCCATATTCTGGGTACTTGCAAAAGGAAGAACTGCTGCATGTTTGCAATGCAACCCAGTGTTTGATAGCAGGGTCTTTGTTATTCTAAAAATGCATAAACAGATACTGCAGAAAAGAAAAAAACGTGGAAGCTGATGTGAAGTGGTTTCTTGTGAGGCTGAAGTTGGCTGTCTCAAAGCTCATCTTTAACTCATGAAACAAAACACTAAGAAAGCATGAATTTTGTTGCAATGTTTGGTATCGTTTGGACTAATTTTGCTCTCTATTTAAGGAAATGGAGTTAGCAAGCCAAGGTATCTTCTCCCCTGCCCCTCAAGAACGGCATTCCAGCTCTTATGAAGAGCAAATGACTGCTTTCTCTCCTTCCTTGCTAACATTGTGAGAAGAGGCAAAAGGACTTTTTCCTTTGTCCAGGCCTGACTGCAGAACTAAATTCCTCTCGCTGACACTGAGGTCATGGAACTGCTAAAGGAGCCTAAAATTCTGGATCGTGCAGTCATATTTTGGCCCTGCAGATCTTTATTCCTGCATCCATAATGAGTCATCCCCAGTCAGAGATGTTATCACATACAAGTACATCTGCAAATATTTTATTCAGTAACTAACAAACTAATCTTTTGGAAGCTGCATGACTCACACTGCCGCATCAGAGAAAATTCCCTTGTTAATTACTACAGAGATAATTGCCCTCGAGAGCATGGCTGCTGTAAGGTGAAATGGCCACATAACTCAAAGCAGGCTGCTCCTGACAACCGCGTGCACCTGCATTTCTGAAAATTCTTCTGAAATATTTTGGCTGGTGAGAAGATAACTTAAGAGCTTCCAAGAGATGGGAGTGTCTCCTCTGGGACCAACTCTACTGCTGGCACATCCACCTTGGAGGCGGTAAGAGCAAAGTGAAGAGTTGTGTGAGCATGCATGACCACCATGGGAGTACAAGTGTACACACAGGCATGTTTTCATTTATTTTAAGTGCAGAGGGTGAGATCAACCCAAACTGGGGACATGCATCTCATGACCTTTTAACAAGAAATTGAATGAATGGGAATCTGCACTCTAATAATGACCTACTATTTGAATATAATAATAAACTTTTAATAACAATTTATCAGCGTAGTAAGAGAGAAAATCATCTATAATTATACACATGTAACAAAACAGCCCCCCCTCAAATAATCATTGGCTGAGACTGAATTTAATGAGACACATCAGATACCAGGGCTCTCCTGTATTAGGCATGATATAAATGTATAGAAAATTACAGCATCTATTTCAAAAACAGGGTAGAGAGCATGACTGAAAAGTTTGATAGCTGAAAGAAAAAATATGAAACATTGTACAAAGCTGGTGGTAATGGGTCATATGACACAGCACAGGAGTGCTCCAGTGATGTGCAAACAACAAAGAACATACAGAAGGAACTAGAGGATGCTATAGAGGAAACATAGCTCCCATTAATATACACATTAGGTAATCCAATTCCAGTGAACAAATGTCCTGTACCAAGTGACATGGAAGCACAGAACTTTACAAGAAGGGCAAAGAATTAATAAGCAAAGCCATTATATATCCTGCTCACCTCTGCTATGGTTTATTCAAGTCAGGTTTGAGGTAGAGAGATGGAGCATGGGGTGGGAATGTGTATGTCATACGCATGGTTGTGATAAACAGAGAATTACAGCTCCTGAAGTTGCCAAACCAGAGCACACTCCACATACACATGCTACTCCACACACACTCCTACATGATTGCCTGCAGAACA